AGAGCCCAGCATCATTTGTCCGAAGATAATTGCCTCAATTCTCCACTTCACTTTGCACATATAGAAACAGTCGCAATCTACCAAAGCCTCGGTGACTAGATATGTTAAATTGGTCTAATCACGTCTTGAAGAGCTTGGGCTGAAAGGACAGCTCCGAGTGCCATCCTGAACCAGGACACCAGCGAGCCTCTCTCCCTCGGCCCCGCTGCTGCCTCACTCCCCCACAACGTCTGAAGGGGTGAGTCAGACCCTCAGCAGAGAACAGAAAAACAACTCTGAGGCTCTCTGTCAATGTCTAGTGGCCGTGGGCCCGGGTGGACAAAAGCTAAACCACACACCACAGGATGTTCCCGACAGCCGAGTGGTCCTCTGCAATCAGCAGTGTTTTCAGCCACTGCCCACCAGCCTCAGGAGGGGCAGCTCTGCAGGGCAGAGGACATAGCTGACACCAGCACCACCGGGGCCATGGGCAGCGCTGGCCACGAGAGAGCACCAGGCAGGCTGGAGCAGGGCAGGTGACAGAATCCAGGCGCCATTTCTCCAGGACAGAGCCAGGCAGAGGGCCAGAGTCCAGGGTGAACCAGGGACCACATCAAATGAAAGCTTTGGCTCTGAGAGCCAGAGCCAGAGCAGAGGAAGGGAGGCACCGCGCCCCAGGAGGACCTGCCCACCCAAGCTTGCATTCTGCCTGGGGGAGGGGCCTTCCAGACACTTCCTGTTGGATTAGGAGCCTAGAAATTGCTCCTCCCATGACAGGAGTAGGTAGGTAGGCAGGTAGGCAGGCAGGTGGGTGTTGCGTTGGTAGGATTACCTCGACAGCGCACAAAGCCAAGAGAAAAGAAGGGCCACTCCTGAGAGGAGGACCCCAGCAGCTCTGCACAGGGACACAGGTCACTTCTGATCCTATCTCCCTTTAAAAACGAAGGGCACAAATAGAACATTGTAACCCCAACAAAGGCCTGGACAGAAGCCAGCCATGTCAAAGAGATGATGATTTCCCCCTATTGTTTGCTTCTGGCTCTAGACGGCACAGCCCCAAAATCACAAAGTCAGGAGCCCGGGCTCGTCGCCCTTTCTACTGGTGAGAGCTGACAGATACCAGCGCCATCTGAGTGACAGCGACGTGGCGCCCCAGAAAAGCGAGCCAAATGCTCTTGTATTGTACCCAGACCTCTGAGGGGGGGGGCAGGCAGCAAGGCAATGCCAAATTCCCAGTGGGCTTGAGCCTTTCTGGCTGATTGCCACAGTCAGTGGTGGGGAGCACGTCATATTCCCTGAGTTCATTTCTACCCAAAGGAAAGTTTGAAAAGCTCTCCATCTCTAAAATTAGTCCTTATCAATGACTGTCCAAAAAAATGTGTTCAAGAGTGACTGTACCCACTCGCCTGGCGGAGCAGAACCAAACTTTTGTGTCTCATCTTGGAAAACGTGTTGGTGCCGAGGGGACACATGACAATGGCCTGGCGAGCCTTTTGAGAATTCACGTGAGTCATGTCTCCCCCAGAGTGACTAGAACAGGGCTTCGCACACAGTAGGCATGCGGGAACAGGTGGCTTGAAAGCACTGCTCTAATGGGCTTCAAAAAAAAAAGAAAAGAAAACCTCAAAGTCAGACGAGGTAAAAGCCCACCTTTCAGAAAACCACCAGATGTAACCACCTGACTGTAGCCACCGTCGGGCAGCTTCCCTCCCTGGTTTGTCTACCTGGCGAGGATTTAGAATGTGGCACCTGTTGGCAATCCACTCTTTAATAGTTGGAGGCATTTCACATTGACATGCATGTTGTCAGATGACAGGGGTTGGTCACTTCTCAATCACCTCCGTCTCCCCACGATGCCTGGAAGAGTGTCGTGGTCACAGAAGTGACTCAACGTGAGGCTGCTTAACAGCCAATTTCATTGTTAATTTCCGAGGCAGCTCCGGGAGGGGAGGCAACGAGGCCCGATACAACTAATAGACAGAGACGGATTTCTCTGCTTCAGCAAATGAGCTGCGGAGCGGAGAGTCACAGAGCCCACCCTGGTCACAAAAGGCCCACCGCTGGCCGAGCCTCCATCACTGACACCTGTTTGCTCGTGTCCTGAAACTGCCACCCAGACACTCCTTCCTGCCGCTGAGCCACCTGCACTTTCAAATGCTTCTACAATAGAAGCCGAGTCGGAAGAGCATGTCCATCAATAGAGCCCCCAGCCCCTCTCCCAGGGCCTCCAGAGCCCTTTCATGGAACCAGAATCTGACTTGAAAAGAACTCGGTGAGCGTGGAGTTCTAATTCCACCTGGCTCAGGAGTCCCAGGGAAAACATCTCTAATATGTGGTCACCTGTCCTTTGATTTAACGCCGCTTCTGACGAAGAGCCACCATCTCCTGACAGCCGTTCCACTTCAGAGCCCTAACTGTTGGAATATCCTTCCTTGGGCTGAGCTGAAATCTGCCTGTTGAAACTGCCTCCCATAGGTTCTAATTTTGCCCTGCCGAGCCACATAAAATACATCATAATGCCTTTTCCACAGGACAATCCTTTAAGGGGCTGAAGACAGTTATTCTTCACAGTTCGTCCAAATAAGACCCTGATCGTAATGAACTGGAAGCTGCGCTTTCCAGTCCAATGGGTCCAGGAGCCTCCCTCTGGCAGAGCCCCGCCGGTGATATACGTTGATATATGTCCGCACTTTATTTACCGCAGACAGACAGGGCCCCTGGTTCCTTCGCCTGGTAACAACCCGAGGCCGTTCATCACCCACTTGCTCCTTTTCGAAATTCACTCTGCAGCAAGCACTTTTAAAGTCATGCACGTAATGCATTTAAAGAGCGCTTTCTGCACAGAGCCATTTGCTCAGCCCCGGCACTAAGTGCGAGATGGAACAGTATTTCAGCGACGTTCTCCTGCCCCCAGAGCCCATGTCGAATGTACGCCAGAAATGTATCGGTAACTATACATGACTGGGGCTCTAAATGCAGTGCTTTGTTAAATGTTCATTTGCTGATTAAAATGCATCTTGCAAAGAAAGTGCATTAGTAATGCAGAATCTAGTCCAAAACTATGTATTATGTAATGCACATTTTCTAATAATGCAGGCAGTCTCGGTGTATCTATATTAGTGGATCGGCTCCGGGCTGCCAGCTCCATTATAGGCAGAAAGCACTCCTTTTGCAAAACGAAGTACTTTCTTATGTACACTAAAGAATCATAATCCACCTCGTTGCTGACAGCTGGCATTTGTCTCCATTGAAAGGGCATTCAGCAGCACCCACATATTCCTGAGTTTTTCCCAATGTGCCCCGAGAACCACTTGAACGATGTCTTTATGTTCCACTCACTGTCAGGGGGGCTGAGCTGATTGAAGAAAGCAAGTGGGCGGGTCAGTGTGAGCAGAACCTTTGGAAATGTCTCAGGTTGGGGCTGAGAGACCAGGATTTGAGATCTGCAGCTCCAAAGGGCCCTGTCCCGTGTCCCCTGATACCATCCATATGATGACTGGAGCCATCCAGACACCTGTGATAATAAAACCCTTTCAGTCACTCTGCAAAGTGGTAAAGAGGAGAGCACAACGAGAATGCAGACGTCTGTCTTTTTACAAGGTTTGCAATCAATCCCACTTTATTACACCAATCAGTATTTTAATGCTACAAACTAACTCGAAGAAAACAAGATGCAAGATAGACACAGCCAAGAAGACAGGGCAGGAGCATTCAAGACCATCCCCAGAGAAGATGCAGAAACAAAACCTCCACATGTCAAAACAGTCGCTAGGATCTCACTAAGGTCTTAACTCTGGGTTCAGCAGCTCTAAGGCAGGCATGGTGCGCAAGGGATAAGGGTGAGTCACATCACACTGAGGAATAGCTGTGGGTGCAGGACACTTCGGCACCAGGAAGCAGTGCCAGGAGGGGACACCTGGTGGACCACCTCAGAAGGAAAGGCAGAATTACCTAATGGACTCTTCAAGTGTCCCCCATGTTGACTCAAAGACAAGAAAAACCACCTGTCGCACCTGTAATGCCTTGTTGTTGCTTCCACAGATTCTAGGAAGATGGTTTTGCCCTGAGTTATACCACCGGTGGACCTGTCACAAGGGCAAAAGTGATGCTGCATATTTTAACGGGGAGGGCATGCACAACCCAGAAGCAGCAGTCAGGTTACAGGTGGAACCCCAGAGCTTCCGAAGCACCATCCTGCCTGAGCAACGACCACTCCACGGATCCCCCTCCAGGAGGACATGGAGCTCATTTGGTTCTCCAGGGCTGAGAAAGAGATGGACTCATTTCCTTTGGGGTTCAACGACATGACCTAGGGTGTCGAGGGGTCCCTTAGCCCTAATGCTCTGGTTGATCCAATAATTTTCTCACTAGAATGCACGCCGGGTTAAACAATGTTGGTGGGTAAGGAGGGAGTCCTGAGTGGTTTAATGCTCTGAGTAACAGCAGATTAATCCTAAGTATCCTTTCCTTGATGTAAGATTTTCTTTTCTTTCCTTTTCTTCTTCCTACTCTATCTTCAGCACCTAGAACAGAGCTTGGCGTGTGCTAGGCACTCAACATTTGTTGAATGAACTCACTTCGTTGAAAACCTATCTATGAAAAGAGCTTTGAGTGGTACCCAGCGGTTTCCTTGATAGCTGATCGCCCTGCAGCGCCCCCCAAGGGCAGACAATTGGCTGCACCTACTGAAGAGCACAGATATTAACTAGTGGTTCCAGCTAATTAGACTTTCGGCACATGTTCTCAGCTAGAGCTCAGGGTGGTCCACCAACGGGCTTGGGGACGTGTAAACCATCACTCCGTCTGTCTGTGGGGGTCCTTCTTAGGGAAGATGCTCATCTATCCATTAGGTAACTAATTAGTCTCTTGAGACCGCATTGGTGGTTGGGGGGATTGGAAACTGCTCAGATTACGGTCACTGTACCAGGTCTGCCAAAGGTGATCTCACGATTAATTAATGATTGCCTGAGGTTACCATGCTCACACTATTGAGCCCCTGGAAAATGCCCGGAACCGCACCGTTAATACTGACGTACAGAAGCTCATTCCTCCGGAATATCCGCAATTTTGCGGTCTGGTTTTTAGCTGCTTCGGGCTTTGTTCAACTTATCGATAACCCTGGAGAAGCTGGGGAGCGGTACGGACCCCACGGAGAACCCATGCCTAGCTGCGCAAGCACTCTAACCTGTAGCTAGCTCGCTCGCTCTCTCCTTGGCACCCGCCAGGCCCCCAGCCGCTCCCATCGCCCAAATCCTTTCAAACAAGGTTCCCTCCTGCCACCTGCCGGCCCATTAGGGTCTACGCCTCGGGCTCGGCGCCACTGCGCAACTCACGCGGAGCCGCCCCCGCCTCCCTACTGCACATGCCCGGCAGAAGTCCGGGCGCGCAACTTTGCAGAACCTCTCCGCCCCATTTGTCTTCGCCTCAGTCTCCTCTTTCCTCTCCCAGGCGAGAGGACCAGCGGAGGCACCTCTCCCCGAGTCTTAGGCTGCAGAGTCTAAGACTTAGAGAGAGGAGCCTGGGAGGAGATAGACTTTTTCTCCCCTTTTCCCATCCCTTCTTTTTGCCCAGAGAGGCAAATAGAGGCGCGGAGCTTTAGAAAGTTGAGTGGTCAAGAAGGTAGGTGCTTCCTTTTTCTCCTCGCGCCGAGGTGGGGCTGGGACCTCCGGACCCAGCTTCTTAACCTCGCGAGGAGCACCTTTTCCGGCTCTAGCAGCCGATGCTCTTCGGAGCTGCTCTCTGCAGAGCCAGAGGGTGGGTCGGATTCGCCGAGTGTGTGTGAGGATGGATCGCAGATCCCGAGCTCAGCAAGGGCGCCGAGCTCGCCACAGTTACAACGATCTGTGCCCACCCCTAGGCCGCCGGGCAGCCACCGCACTCCTCTGGCTCTCCTGCTCCATTGCTCTCCTTCGCGCCCTCGCCACCTCCAGCGCCCGCGCCCAGCAGCGCGCGGCTGCCCAGCGCCGGAGCTTCCTTAACGCCCACCACCGCTCCGCCGCCCAGGTATTCCCCGAGCCCCCCGAATCCGACCACGAGCACGAGGAGGCAGACCTCGAGCTCTCCCTCCCCGAGTGCCTGGAGTACGAGGAAGAGTTCGACTACGAATCCGAGACCGAGTCTGAAATCGAGTCGGAGACCGACTTCCAGAGCGACCCTGAGACCGCCCCCACCACTGAGCCCGAGACCGAGCCCGAGGACGAGCGCGGCCCCGTGGTGGCCAAGCGCCGCACCTTCGACCAGTCTCTCACTGAGCGTCTCAACGCCCTGAGGTTGCAGAGCCCCGACGCCTCCCCGAGTCGCGCGCAGCCCAGCACTCGGGAGTCTGAGAGCCCCAGACAAGGGGAGGAGCCCGAGCCCGAGGACAAGGATCCGAGGGACCCCGAGGAGTCTGAGCAGCCAAAGGAGAAGAAGCAGCGACGGCGCCGCTGCAAGCCGAAGAAGCCCACCCGCCGCGACCCATCTCCGGAGTCTCCTTCCAAAAGGGGACCCATCCCCATCCGGCGTCACTAATGGAGGACGCGCCCCAGATTCTCCTTGTTTTCTTTGACCCAGGTTGGTGACCAACCGCTAAACTGGGGAGTCTGGGGTCGGTGCTGGAGCGGTGGGAGGAAGGGAGGGAGAAGCAAAGGCAGGTTAGAAGGCAGGCGGGAAGAGAGCGGGCTCAGCTAGTTAGCCCTGGAGGCGGGGGCGCAGGGCGAGCTAGGAAGAGCTCCGCGAATCTCCCCCGGGGCGCTGGCGGGCGCCCGGGTGGCCAAAGGCCTGTTGGCCAGAGGGGCGGCGGGGCGCTCCTCGCGCCCCTCTGGAGACAGCCTGAGGTCTCCGAGCTGGTGTCCAGGATGCACGACTGAATTCCGGGAGCACCCCAGGTTTCGAGCTGCACACCCAGAAGGCACGGGTAAGTACTTTGTTTTACGTGCTTTTTTCCCTCCTAGAGTAAGTAGTCTCAAACCAGTTGGCCTTGGCGGGTGCCCGAAACGTGGTTCGGAGGTGCTCGCGCCAACTTTCAGAAAGCAGAGCCGCCCGGCGGTAGCGACACTGTTGCAATGTGCGAATACTAACCAGGCTGGGATTGGGCGACAACTCCGGAGACTGCCGGCTCCCGGGGAAAGTTGCGCGCGCACGCGCGCACCGCTTAAGACACTCGGAGCCTAGAGCCCAGGTCCCGTCGCTGTCAATTTGGACCGGCTGCGCGCCGGTCCTGGCCGCCAACGCCCGTCTCCGGGCGCTTGCGGGGCCGGAGACCGCAGCAAAGAGCGTGCGCACCTGCCCGCACGCCCCAGAGCCGACCTCTAAGAGCCGGCCGGCGGTTCCCCACGAGTCACCGGTGCTTGGAAGGCAGGCAGAGGAGGTACGGGAGTCTTGGGAGGTGCCCAACGGGCTACCAGGGTTGGTGGTGTGGGCTTGGTCACGTCGGGGCATCGCCAGCCTTTTGGCGCAGCTAGTCTGGTGGCGGGGCGGGGTGCAGCTTGGCTGGAGAGGTCCCGGGCTGTTTGCGCAAGGGCCTGGGGATGTAAGAGAGGGGCCAAGAGGTCAGCGAGGTGGTCACGAGCGGAAAGGTAAAGCGGAACAAGGAACAAGCTGGAGAGGGAGTCGCGCCTATCACCAGGGAACCCTACAACGCGTCCCCAAAGAGCGCGGCACCCGCCGAGCTGGGGAAAGGTGTTGGATCCGACGCAAGTCCTTGGGCGATCGGTCGAGAGGGGGCAGGAGCCGGCGGCTACGGCAGCCTCGAGGAGGGGAGGGGAGGGGAGGGGAGGCTGCGCGCACCGGCCATTTTCAGCTCCGGTGGAGCTAAGTTTGGAATCTGTAACCTGGAGGCGAAGCTGCCCTGGTGTCGGAGCACAAAAACGGCCTGAATCCGGTAACGCATCTTCGGTGCGGAAAGTGTGCCTTTCTCACCAGTCCTGGGGGAAAAGACTGGTTAGTGAAATGTATTTACAAAACCTCACCCGATTTGGAAGTTGGCTTTATCTTGGTGCGCGCGCGTCTCGTTTGGCGTTGGTTTGAGCTATTCTGATGAGAATGATTTGGGGGGGGGAAAGTGAAACGTTTTGAGACTTGAAAAGACGACGGGTCAGGTTCTTAGACTCCTAAGATAAGGTTGCGGCCAGAAGGAACACACGTTAAAGGGTCTTCCTTCCAGGTCTCTTCCCTGGGCAAGGCGTCGCGGAGCCCCAGAACTTCTTCTGGGCTGCGGCGCTCGCTGACTAATGGCTGTTGGATGCTGTTCTGGTCTTCACTAGTAAATACCGGGAAGGGGGCTTCCCTGGGCAGCGGGGAAATGTCCAGAAGTCTGGAGACTGCCGAGGACTTGTAGAAGGGTCCGGTGCGCCCTGGCTTTGGCTTGAAAGCGTGAAAACTGCCTAAGTGAAATGGGGCTCCCCAAAGCTGACATTTCTACTTAGTGTAAAAACAGTGGTTCTGTGTTCCTTTCCGTGGCATTAAGTGTTCTGTTTTTTCTCTGTTAACGTCTTAGCAGCCTGAGTTCACCCAGCAAAATGTCTCTGGTGAATAGGCAAAATCAGCCAGGGGTGCGGTTGGCTTTTTTGGTGTGCTTTTCTGTGTGAGGGCTGCCCTCACAGGCTGGGGAGTTTGGGGGGACCCGTTTTCCTGCAGAGCTGGGTTTTTCATTGGAGAAATTAGCATATCGCCTTGTTGCAGGATGAATATACAAGTTTTTTTTTTTAAGTCGTCAGTGCCTAGCCCACACCTGTCACCCCAGTCTTGGGCTCTTTTTTAACCTGAAGGCTGCATAAGGAGAGGCTGTCTTTCTTAACAGTAACCAATATACCAGGTTAGTTGTTGCGGGGCGGGGGTGGGGGGGCCCATGTAGGAACACACAGTTTGCCATCTTTCAGACGCTCCTCCATGAGCTACATGATTGTGAAAACCTGTTACCCACCCCACAGCCCTCCCCCACTCAGTTCCCCTCCCCCACCCCCTCTCCTTCCATCCTGATTCCAGGGTGGAAGAGTCATTAGGCACATACACAACAACTGAGGAGCATACCAAACCCCTATGACCAGGACTCACCCCATGGAGAGGGAGTTTTGCTACAGAGACGCTTCAAAAAATACTCTTTCTACCTAAGGCACTGGTGTTTAGCTGCCTCTCTTTTCTAGAGGCATTTCTGGCAAGTTTTCCAAGCATTCCCAACTCACTAGTCTCCCAACTAGCCCTTTGTCTCGCCCTGCTCAACTGGGGTGTTAGCATTTGAATGGGCTTAACTTGCCCTTGCAACTTAGGAAATTGTCTTAGAAAAAGCAGACCTTAAGAGTTGACCACTGGGGTGAATTACCAGCCAGTTATAAGGTTTCGATTGGAAAGAAAGGGGAAGAGGAGGGGAAGGAGGGTAAAGCTACTTAAATTGTAAGCTCTGATATTCAGGATTTTTAATTTTGCGACATTAATCATTTGCTTAATAGAAATGTGCTTTTTCTTGGACAAAGGTGCTCTTTTAACTGAACTTTTTGAGTTGGAAAGTCATGCAGCAGTGTTCAAATACTGTGTGGTGTCAACAATCTGGTGTAGGTTTACTTCTGAGGTTTGGCCAGCAAGACTTCTAATCTGTTTATCAGAATTCAGGAATTGGGAATTTTAAAGTTTGGAATTGTTTTAAGATAGTGTTTCTTTAACGCGCTAGAAACTTTTTCCCCTTGGAATTGCTATCAGCCCTTTACACTTCAGCCCTCATTTTTAGCAGCTGTGATGGAGGGTTTAATGAGAAAGAAAGCTGCAACTTCAGTGTAGGTAAGAAGGAGGTTTGTTTTTTTGTTTGTTTTAAATAACCTGCATGGATTTTACTTAATTTGTCTGTATTGTTACTGCTCTTCATGTAAAGGGAGGCTATGGAGAGGAAACTGAGCAGAAACCTTGGTGTTTGGGGAAAGTGTGTCTCTTTAACAGAAAGGTGACCTATAACAGCAAATCGCTAGAATCAAATTAAGCGTCCAGAGTGATGTCATATGCCAGCTCGAGTGCTACCCTTCTCTTAAAAATTGTCCAGCAAAGGGGGAATGAGATTCTCATATTACATCTTTAATCCCCACGTTCCAGAATGAGGGATGGAATTCCTCGTCCTGCTCTGCGGGTTTGACATTAATGACGCTATTTTCTAAATCCTGATGCCCCAGAAGTGGGCAGCAGGATCTAAGACCTCAGGCTCTTCTCACCCTGGCCCTGCCCAGCAGCCTCGGGTCAGACCCGGTGGCCTCTGCCTCAGTTTCTTCACGTGGAAAATGAAGTAGCTGAAGAGATGGTCCTAGCATCCCTTTCTGCTCCCAACACTTGGAGGTTGATTAAGAAGCCTGGAGTTGCCCAATTTGACTCATACCAATGATTTTAATGCTAAAGGAGCCCCCCCCACTGCCGCCCCGAACGTTAAAGCTTGATAGAATAAAAGCCAGTTGGGAAGAAATCCGTTTTGTGTTGATCTAATTTGATTTTCCCAAATCTGGTTTTGAATGGGGGGCAAAAATGGTTTCGAGGCCAGTTAGAAATAAATAAACGATAGATAAGTAAGTAAGTAAGCAGGCAGGCAGGTTAGAGAATTCAGAATTCCACTATGTTCTATTACTAACGGGGGGGGGGGGGGTGGCCTCCTCAAGAGCAGATACTTAGTGTTTGTCTTAGGTGTGCTGGTTTTCCCACCTGCCCTCCCTGATCTCAGGGTCGGGGCAGGGAGCCCTGGAGCCAGCCTGGCCCTGAGCACTGCAGCCGGGAGATGCTGGCCGCTTTGGGAGAGAGCAAACTTAACAGCCCCGCTACTTAACTGACCACAAGTGTTGAATATATTCTTTGGTAACACGTTCAAGTGCCCTGATTAGGTGAGACCTGAAAAAATAGCCCAGAGGCTGCAGCTAGTTAGGATAAACCAGTTTTCTCAACCTTTGTATTTTTTTTCTCTTATCACTCCCTCCCAGGAGCTTCTTCAGACATCTTTTTCTTAATTAGTCCTCACCCATGAAATGTTAGAGATATATCGTCTATGTTTCTGTACTGCGGGATCTGGTAATAGCTAAGGGTTTTTTTGCACTCCCCCCAAACCAATCTTGTCTCTGTTGCAAATGCATGAGATAAGGAAAGCAAATGTTTAAAAGAACTGGTTTATGTCAAATTAAGTGATTTAACATTCTGTTTTTGTTTTGTATTTTAAACTTTTGGGGGGCTACGTATTAAAAGGCTATATATAAGGTGGATTTTACTGATGTTTGGTTTCTCTTTCTGACATCTCATGTTTTTTCCCCAAGCCCCCTGGTGCCGATACTGGTGCTAGTGCCTACTTAATTCACGCGGCAGAGAAGCCAGAGTAAACAGCCTAGTGACTCAGTTCTCCCAAGCCCAAGAGTCTGCAGTGCAGGGCCACCATCACCTGCTGACAGCACTCAGCCAGTTGAGGCGGGACACCTGAGATGAGCTGACGCCACGGAACCCACCCCCCAACTCCCTATTCCAGGGTAGAACCGGGAAGGCAGCCTCCCCCAGCTTCACGTGTGGACACGGCCTGTTTTTTGGGCTTATTTTAGGCTGAGCACGTGGCCAATTAGCTGGGGGGGGGGCACAGATATCAGGCCATAGCTAGAGGAGGCTTCATGGACAGAGGGCAGGTGGTGGCTGTAATGGGGGGTAGACGTGAGGACGACAAAAGGAAAAGAAGGTTTGGGGGGATCACAGGAAAAAGAGGGAAACAAGACACCTGACAAGGAAAAGATGAGGTTTGGAGATGGGGATCACAAAGCCTATAAATGTTAGGGCTAGAGAAAACAGGTTGAAGCACGAGATTGGGGAGAAAAAGGTTTAGGGGAGACTCCATGGCAGTCTTCAAATACGTGGTGGCAGCAGGGGCAACGTCAGCTTAGCATTAGGAAGAGCATTTTTCACAGACAAGGATGACAAGGGATGGCCGCTAATGGGGGTCTCAGATTAGTCACCCTTAACCTCACCGTCCCTCTGAGAGTCTCTTACAGGCCTGGCCCAGAAATTTCAGTTTCTAGGTGCGGTAGAGTTGTCATACGTATGACCTCAGCTGCTTCAACTAAATGGAAAGATTCGCAGCCTAGGAAACCTTGCTTCACGTGGCTCAGATCCTAAGGCCTGGATTCTGGTTCAGGGAGAGTCCCCGAATCTCAAACCTGAGCGGTGTTAGGGGGTGCAGGGCCAAAGACTCCCCCACCCCGCC